TAGTTAAAAAATTAGAAACAACATTTTGTTGATCATTTAACAAATTAAATTTAACTGTTCAAGAAGGAGTAAGAAAAAAAAAAAAACGTTTTTTTTAAAGATTTAAAAATCTTGTTTCTCTTAGGATACAGCTCGTTTTCAATGTCGTTTATCAAAATTAAGTTCAAATATTCAATGGTTTAAAGATGGTATAAGAATCTTACCAAGTGAACGTATTGTTTATTCAGTTAAAGGTGATCTTTTAACGTTAACTATTCATAATGCACAAATTGAAGATGAAGAAAATTATCGTTGTATGGTTGATAATCAACATAGAGATGCAACATTAACTGTTGAACGTATGTTTAACAAATTATTTCTAAATAAAATTAATTTTTTAAATTTTAGCATTACCAGCTATATTTGTTAGATATTTACCTAAAGTATGGACTGTTTATGGTGATGAACCATAAGAATTATCATGTCAATTATCAAAAACAAATGTTCGTGTTATTTGATTAAAAAATGAAATATCAATAGATGATAAAAGTCAAATGAAAAAATGAAGGTTTAAGATATAGTCTTTATATTCGACATGGAGTTCAATCTGGAAGATATACAATTCGTATTGATGATATTCATGGACAAGAAAGTAGTTGTCAAGTATCAGTTGAAGGTACCGAAATCTTCACTAATGAATTAATTTTATCGTTTTTTTAATTAGATTTAGCTGAAATTGAACGAAAAAAGCCACGTATAATTCGTGGACTTGAAGATTTAAATTTACATGAAGGTGAATTACTTGAATTAGAATGTCAATTTGAATGTAATGATGTTGAAGCAACATGGTTTTTTAATAATATGATTCTTCGTTCAAATATTTTTACAATAATTAATTCCAAATCAAATGAATTAGCTCGATTAATTATTAAGGAAGTTTATCTTGAAAATGCTGGTTTATATAAATTACGTTTAAAAAATAAATATGGAAAAGTATCAACATCATGTTTAGTTTCTGTTCGTCAACGTGAACCTTTAACTGATCAAAGAAAATTGAGTATTGAAGATTTACCACTAAAGTAAAAAAAATCTATTTGATTTATTTAATTTAATATATTTTTTTCAATAGATTTATTGAACCAATTTCTGATGTTTATGTCCATGAAGAACAAGAAACACATTTTCGTGCGATTATATCTGGTCAATCATTATCGAAAGTAACATGCTTTTGTAATTATAAAAAAATCGCGGTAGGGTATTTCAATATCATTGTTATTTATTTTAAATATATTTTGAATAGAATAATGAAAAAATATCGTGTAACTCAAGATAAAGATGTTTATTTAGTAGCAATATCACATGCCAATGAAAATGATGAATGTGAATATACATGTAAAGCTGAAAATTCAGCTGGAGAAAAAACATGTTCAACGAATTTACATCTTATTGAAACTTCAATTGGTTCAAAATCATAACCATATGTTTATTTTTTCAAATAATTCTATAGAAATAATTGTTTTTTTTTCAAATAGAACTGAAAATATAGCTCCATCATTTATTCGTAAACTTTGTAATTGTACGGTTATTGAA